TTTCAAAATATTTTGCATCAATAAAAATGTTGCTAAATATTTTGCATCATTAAATTTTGCGCTTTTTTTATTGCGCTTTTTTTATTTGTTTCAATAAAATTTGCATCCTTTTTTTTTCTTTCTTTTCTTCTTTTATCATCTCTTTTGTTTTATTACACTTTATCTTCTTTCTTTTTATATTCTCTCCTTTCTACTTTTATTCTTTCTTCATCTTCATCTTCTTCTACTTCTTACTTTCTTTTTATTCTTTTATATCATTCATTCTCTTCTTTTTCAATTATTTGCTTTTTTCGTTGCCGTTTATGTTGTTTTATTTGTCTGTATTTTATTTTTCTTTATTTCTACTGTTTTATCTATTTATACTTATTTTCTTTTGTTTATGACATAATGTCATCACACCTTGTTTCTTAGTTTATTATTTTGTTCATATAGTCAAGTGGTGAATCTCTTTCATATTTTATTTCTTTGTTTATTTCTTCTGTTATTTGTTTATATATAAATAGATTTCGTGTTAATATTCAAATTATGAGTTATCATTGTTTGTTTCTTTGCTGTTTACTTCAATTTCATCAACGATTGTTGTTTCGTTTCTGTTGCTTCATACTCATCAGTTCTAACTATCTCACTCTTGTTTCTTGTTCTATTTATTTTTACTCAGTTCTGTTAATTATGTCTGTTGTTTTATATGTTTATTTCTGTGTTTCTTCTTGTATATTTGTTTTTTGTTCATATTAATTTGTTTTTTTTTTCATATCATTCCTGTTATTTCTATTTTCTTTATTTCTATTTATTTTATCAATTATTTAACTGTTATTATATTATTAATACATTATATGTTTTGTCTTTTTAAATGTAATATATTTGACTCTTTTGTATATTTCATTCAATTTTTCACTCTTTCATCAATCATGTCATTTGTTTATTATGATATTGGTGTTAATATTATCTTTCTTTTCTTATTGCTATTTATTTCAATGTATTCTTTCTTCTTATTTTCTTTTTTTGTTTCTTTATCTCTGTATCACATTTTCTCTTCTTTTCCAATTCTTTATTCATTCATATTAATCTTTTCTTGTAATGCTTCTTTTATTAACTTCATCAAATATATTCTTTTCTTTTTATCTTATTTCTTGTTCTTACTTTGTTTATTGATTATTTTATCATCATTTTATTTTTCTTTTCTGCTTTTCAACATTCTTTCTCTCTTTCTTTACATTCTTCTTTTGTTATTATGACAATATCATTTTGCATTCTTCATTATTCTTAAACACCATTGGGATGTTGTTATTTATTCAACTTATCCTTCGTCATGTATTGTCATTCTTCTTTTTCGATATTATTCATTTATAGTTTCTTCTATTTATTATATTTCTTTTGTGGTGTTTAGTATTAAACACTTCTTCAAACATTGAACTTGAATAAATGATATTGTAATGAGTATATTCTTAAAATGACATTGGTTTGGATTATTATTTAAATTATTATTCATTCAATATCAATATCAATGTTATTGTTTATGTTTTATTATATTCAATATTTATTCATTTATTATTTGATTGTCGAAAATGAATTGAGTATTATTTCAATCATCCATTCTATTTATTATTGATTTGAAATTTACAATTATACAACATTATGATGAATTGAATAATGAAATGATTGAGTCATTATGAAAGAAAATGAATGTAAATGATAATAATATAAAAAAGAAGAGATGTATTTAAAGAGAAGAGTTGAAACAAAACATCGAATGATTATTTTCATATTGACTATTGTAATTACAAATGCAACAGAAAGTATTGTAAATAAAGAAGACAGAAACACAGAAGCAATACACTATTTATCCTTTGTTCATTCTTTCTTTTGGATTTTTATTCATCTTTTCCTTTCTTTTTTATCTTCTTTGTTTAACTAATTTTGTATTGTATTTGAATGGTTTAAACAAAATATCTTATTCTTTATCATCTAAATTAACTAGATTCATTGTTTTAGTTATATACCTTTAAATTAAAAATTAAAAATTATAGTTTATCAATTGAAAATTGATACAAAACAAAGATTTTGAATTTATAAATAACCATTGAATGTTTCTTTAAATTTGAAATTAAAAAGAGGTTAATAATGTATGACGCTTAGTGCTAAAAATCTACCAAAAATTAATAAAAACGAAAAAAAATGAATGAAAAAAAAAAGAATCAATATTATTTATTGTTATATTATTTAAAAGATGTTTACAAATAATGATGAATTTAAGAGTCAAAAATGATATTATGTTTATAAATATTAGTTCCTGCTTGTCTTGGATATGAAGGTTACAATACTAAGATGAAACATAACCAAAATCTTTAATAAAATATCAATGATAATATTTTTTTCTAAGAATAAATGATTATAGCCAAATTTCTTAATTTATAAGATGTTTGTTAAATATCATAATCTATTACTGATAAATCTAGAAAAAGAATAACACGAAGAACAACAATCATTTATAAATTAGTGTGATAATGAGTGAATGAAACCAAATGAATATTAAAAACAAATAAATAAAAGCAATATTAATAATAAGAAGCTATTTCTTATTAATGAAAAAAACATTAAAAATACAAAAAATGAAGATAATACTATACAGAATATTATACAGTGAATTATTTCAACTAATAGTAACAAAAAAGGTGGTTCAATACACTAATAATTAAATCTAAATAGACTTAAAAAAACGAGTTGTCGAAGATATGTCTAAGAAAAAAAATATAACTATTAATAACTTTTAACTTCAAATCAAATAAATAAGTTTGTTCTTTCATTTAGAAGTCAAGTATAAGAAGTAGGAAATTTTCTTTAAAACATCATATTAGTGTTTGTTAGTTTAATAAAAAAATTTTTACTTGTAAAAGAAAAATAAACAACTATAATGAATAACCTTATTATTTGGTTTCAATCATTTTTTATTTGAGACTGTTTGGGACTCAAATCAAATTACTCATTAATAAGGCACTATACTAAAACCCATATATTTAACAAATGTTATATTTTAAATAAGAGAGTCACCTTTTTGAGGTTTATAAGAAAGAATAAACAAGTTTTATGAAGATTTTTGTTATCAGGAAGAAAGGAGAGAAAGAGTTTGTTATTTAGACAAACAGGAAAAAAAAATCAAAAATGAAGAAAATCTAGTAAAGACAATGAAAAGGCGAATAAAATATCAAGATAAACCATGTTCTAGAAGAGAAAAACAAGGTTCACTTGTAAATAATAAAAAACTATAAAAATACAAAACGTTTATTTTTGAGATCAAATAACGAGAAGAGAACGCTGATTTTTTTCAGACTAATTAAAAGGAAAAAAACCATATTTTTTGATTAGTAAACTATTTAAGAAGAAATACATATAAGCTAAAAATAGAAGGAGTTTTAAATTTAAATGAACTGTATAATGACAAAGAGTAAAACAATATGGCTGACGAGAACGAAGAATATGAAGAAGAATATGAATACGAAGATGAAGAGTACGAAGACGAAGTAGAGGAAGGAGATGAAGAAGAAGAATATGAAATTGTTGAAGACGATCAACTTGAAGCGGACTCAGCAGCCAGACAAGAAGAAATGAAGAGACAAATGGAGGAAGAAATGAGAGCTCTTGAAGCACAATTTGAAGCAGAGATTGAGGCTATGAAAGGAGATGATGAAAAGTTAAAAGAAAAGATTGCTAAGAGAAAGCAAGAAGTTGCTGCAGCAAGAGCACAAAAAGAAGAAGAAGAAAGACTTGAATTTGAAAGAATTGCTGCAGAAGAAAGAGAACAAGCAGAAAGAATTAAGAGAGCTATTGCTGAAAGAAAGGCTCAATTAGCTCAAAGATTAGAACTTGATGAACAAAAGAGACAAGAAGAATTTGAAAGAATTGCTGCAGAAGAAAGAGAACAAGCAGAAAGAATTAAGAGAGCTGTTGCTGAAAGAAAGAGACAACTCCAAGAAAGAATGGAAGAAGAAGAAAAACAACGTGAAGAAGAGTTCAAACGACAAGAGGCTGAAGAAAGAGAACATGCTGAGAGAATGAAAAGAGCTATTGCCGAGAGAAGAGAACAACTTAGAATTAAACAAGAACAAAGAGCCCAAGAAGAACAAGCACTTTATGAAAAAGAACAAAAAGAACTCCAAGAACGTAAGAAGGCAATGAGAGAAGCAAGAGAAAAACAAAAGAAATTAAGAGAAGAAAAAGAAAGAAAGAGACAAGAAGAAGAAAGAGCTGCTTTTGAAGCTGAACAAGAAGCTGAAAAAAGAAGAAAAGAATCAATCAACAATTCTATTGCTGCAGCTAAAGCACAAAGACAAAAAGAAGAAGAAGAGGAGCGTGCATTCATGGAGAAAGCACTTCGTTTAAATCCAAATGCCGATCCAGAGAAATTACAACAAATGAGAAAACAATATTTAGAAAAGAAAAGACAAATGGAAAAAGCTCTTAAGCAAGGAGCAGCAGCTGGTGGTGTTAAAAAGGTTAAGAAAGTTAAAAAGGTCAAAAAAGTTAAAAAAGCAACTAATGAAGATAGTACTCAATCAAATGTTAAAAAAGTTAAGAAAGTTAAAAAGGTCAAAAAAGTTAAAAAAGTAAAAAAGGCAGTTGAACAACCAAAACCTGAAGAAACTCCTAAAGAAGAAATTAAAGAAGAAACAAAACCAGTTGAAACAACTTCAACAGAAAAGATAGTTGAGGAAGCTGCTCCAAAACAACAAGCTACTGAATCTCGTGAAGAAAGAGAAAGAAAATTAAAGGAACAACAAGAAGCTCTTCAAAAGAAGAAAGAAGAAAGAGAAAGATTGAGAGCAGAGAGAGCTGCTGAATTAGAAAGAAAGAAAAAGGAACTTGAAGAGCTTAAGGCTAAAAGAGCTGCTGCCGCAAATAAGTAATTGTTTGGGAGTGTCTTTATTTAAATTCGAATCAATTCTTTTTTTATTATATTTTTATGGTTTTTTTAAATGAAAATCTAATCTAAATTCAATCAATTATTAATATCTCCAGATTTTAATAGTATGATCATACGAGGCTGTTGCCACAGAACTACCATCAAGTGACCAATCAATAGAAAAAACTTCATCTAAATGACCTGGTAAATTTGTCATTAATTTACGACATCCTGGAACAACATTCCATAATTTGACTGTACTATCTTTGCTTGCACTTACAAGCATTCTACTGTCTGGAGACCATGCACATCCATAAATTGTTTGAACATGTCCTCTATATGTATGTAAACAAGACCCAGTAAATCCATCCCAAATTCTCATATTTTTATCACATCCAGTACTTGCTATAATTCTACTATCAGGGGAGAATTTACATGACATAACTTGACTTGAATGTCCAACAAGTCTGTGGACTGGTTTTTGTGATTGTAATGGCATCCACATATATAAAGTTCCATCATCACTTGCAGAAACTAAACGTTCACCACCACCACATCCCATTATTTTATCTAATCTTTTTTTTGCTCCATCAATTCCTTTGTCTTTTTCTAATGGATCATAACCACCTTGTCTAAGTACATATTCAGTAGATGTACTAATACCATTAATCCAATGAGAATGACCTTTTAATACATGAATTGGATTTGCTTGTCTCATATCA